AACCATGGAAACACCATTTTTATTGTCATTGCAGCGGGTAGAGGGTCCAAGGAAAAGAATGTTACATGGCAACAGAACGATTCAGATTTTCTGGAAATCTTTTATGATTCCAGACATATAAAGCATCATACAAAGGCCAGGTGTGGTGGCTCACACCTGTAATCTCAGTACTTTGGGAGGCCAAGGTGGGCAGATCACAAGGTCAGGAATTCGAGACCAGCTTGGCCAACATAGTGAAAGCCCTTCTGTACTAAAAATACAAAAATTGGTTAGGTGTGGTAGTGGATGCCTGTAATCCCAGCTACTCAGGAGGCTAAGGCAGGAGAATTGCTTCAACCCAGGAGGCGGAGGTTGCAGTGAGCCGAGATTGTGCCACTGCACACCAGGCTGGGTGACAGAGCAAGATTCCATCTCGGAAAAAAAAAAAAAATCATGCAAAGAGAAAATGCATATTTCTAAAATAGCACTACAAATATATCATTGTCACCATCCAAAAAGCTTCCACAAACCAATCAGGCAATCTATATAAAAAGAAGTTCAATCCCTTTGACCCACCTACCAAAACTGCTTCAGGAAAACTGTCATTAGAATACAAACCAAAAATATGGAAAAAGGTCATGTCACATTATGCTCAAAGCAAGGCAATTTGCAACATCAAAAAATTATGTCCCTACCTTCTAACTTCAAACCTCACTGACAGGTCCCATGGTCACTAAGCCTCAATACAATACAAATTCAAGCTTGACTTCTTCATGAGGTTAAAATTAGCCAATACATATTCAAGAACTCAATAAGCATTTCTAAATCCCTCTACTATTTCAAAAGTTTAAAAAAGCAAAAAGCTCAATAAAATAACAGTAGAAACAAAAGCATCAAATGTTTGAAAAGCACACATACACTTGTGTTTTGGAAATCACCTCTGCAGTGAGCCCTGAGCTAGTTAGCAAATGGCAGTCGCTGGTAGAGAGAAGAGCAACTGTCCAAGGCCCCATGGCCAGCTGCCACTACTTGGTTATACGGGCCAAAACAAAAAACAAAAACCCTGGGTGAAACTGAACCCATACCTGTTCTCTGCCCCTGCCCTTGAGCCTTAAGGCTTCAGACCTCAGCTTAACTGAAATTGGAAATAAAGTACTTAGTACAGTACCTGGAGTAATAAAGGGAATGCAGTTAAGCCTCCAGCCAGTGCCTGGAACATGTACATGCTCAGTAAATGGAAGTATTGTTGTCCTTATCAGTATTTTTACTATTAAATGAGTAAGTCACATTTGTATAGCAACTCAGAGTTTATGTAAAGTGCTTTCAATCCCCGCAACAATCTTGTAAGAGAAAACTGAGGCTCATGGAAGGTGGTAATCTGTCCAAGTTCATGGTTGGGGACTTGAGTGCCAGCCAAGTCTCCTTCCCCTTAGTAGGGCTGTCTGAATCTGACAATAATGCCTTGTCTCTGCCATGGACATTGTACCTGATCCCATTATAATTGATTCCAGTCCAAGCGAAGCCAATCCAAGTCGAGGTTTCTGTTTCTTATACCCCAAAAAACCCTACCAAGTACATTTTATACTCATAGCACTTATGGATCAGACTTGGTACACATATTCTATGCCTGAGCAATAGCTCCATATCATCACATGTGGGGCTTTTTTTTTTTTTTTTTTTTTTTTTTTTTTTTTGAGACGGAGTTTCGCTCTTGTTACCCAGGCTGGCGTGCAATGGTGCGATCTCGGCTCACCGCAACCTCCGCCTCCTGGGTTCAGGCAATTCTCCTGCCTCAGCCTCCCGAGTAGCTGGGACTACAGGCATGCACCACCATGTCCAGCTAATTTTTGTATTTTTAGTGAAGACGGGGTTTCACCTCGTTGACCAGGATGGTCTCGATCTCTTGACCTCGTGATCCACCCACCTCAGCCTCCCAAAGTGCTGGGATTATAGGCGCGAGCCACCGCACCCAGCACATGTGGGGCTTTCTAAGCTTACATCAGATCTAACTTTGATTTCCTAGAATCCTACATGGACAGAGGACAAAAAGAAACAATGGTATGTACAGCTGTACAAAGGAAACACATATTACTGGTTTCCCATCACATGACTAACTAGAGAAGCAGAGGACACCACACTGAGTCCCACTGAAGCTTCCGGCCCCTCTCCCACGACCCCCATCCCCACATGTCATAACAAACTTCCACATCTGGAAGCCTGATGATCTTCAGCTGCCTCTCTGTCCAGAGAGGGTCACACTGCACATTAGCAGGAGAATCTTAAGAAAGAGGGAGGAGGAGGAAGAGGAGGAGGTTTCATCAAGGTATTTAGTCTTTTCTTCCAATTGTAATTTGGCTAAAGCATCCAAAGTTACCTATGCCACGTGTTGTTTTTCCAATTCATACTTCAAGTTCTTTTTCAAAAACAGCAATGCAAAATATAAGCTATGCAACTGTCCTTTGACAACGCAATGTACTATTGAGATTATCAAGTGGCCTTTATTGTACGTCAGAAACCAGCTATCCTTTTGTATATTTCCCTATTAGTGCCACACTTGGGTTGTGTCCTTCTGAAGTCCAGATCATCCTTAGGACTACCAGGCACATCCTCCAATGAGAGGCAAAGCCCAGTCAGCAGCTATCCAGCAGCTCTGTCATTCTCAGCTTCAAGCTTGACCACCTCATGTCCCACAGCATTCACCTCCAATCCATTTCAACCATGCACTCTCAAAGCTGCACTACCTACCTGTCATCGCAAATGCCAGCCCTCACTTCTGAAATCTAGAGTTTTATTGAGAATTAAGTATCCTTCTTGAATCCCAACTTTAATCCTCCAAATATCTCCAACTCCCTCTTATTGTACCTGGTTTCAACCCCTCGCCACTTTCACCCATTCCGTTAACTGGTCCTGCTCTCTTTTCCCTCTTCTTGGCAGCTAGACTTCATGATCCATCACTTTAATTGCTCTCTTGCTAGAAGCACCTCTATTCCAAACTACTAATCCCCAATTCTGCATCAATCCAAACACCCAAACATTTCCACTCCTATAACTGGTAAATCGAGTTTTACTAGAGGAAATCTCCTAATCTTGGAGATTAATGGCAAAACATTATTATGAATTCCAACAGAAATTAAGTGCTCGGTGTGACTCAGCAATAATATATTGCACCTGTTCCTTACACACCGGTTGTTTGAAATCTTAAGTATTCCATGTGCCTCTCATTTACAGCAGTACAGCATGATGGTACACAGCTTTGCATCCTGGTTCTGCCTCTTAGTCACCGTATAACCTCAGACAAGTGATTTCGCTTCTCTGTATTTCAGTTACCTCAATTGTAAAATTAGGACAATTCCATCTTCACAAGGTTGTGGCAAGAATTTAGTGAGTTATCTACCTAAGATATTTTAACAATGCTTGTGATATAGAAAGTGTCCAAAACATGTTAGTTACTATTTTGTAGACAGAACTGAGGCCATTAGATGGGATTTTCTTCCATTTCCTTTCCTTTCTTTCAGTTTGTTATTTTCCTCCATTTCCTATTTCTCCAATTTATTTATTTTTTTTTTATTTTTTTTTATTTTTTTTATTTTTTTTTTTGAGACGGAGTTTCGCTCTTGTTACCCAGGCTGGAGTGCAATGGCGCATCTCGGCTCACCGCAACCTCCGCCTACTGGGTTCAGGCAATTCTCCTGCCTCAGCCTCCTGAGTAGCTGGGATTACAGGCACGTGCCACCATGCCCAGCTAATTTTTTGCATTTTTAGTAGAGACGGGGTTTCACCATATTGACCAGGATGGTCTCGATCCCTCGACCTCGTGATCCACCCGCCTCGGCCTCCCAAAGTCTCCAATTTATTCTTAACCACATTCATCCTTATTTTTTCTTCCTGTTTCAAAGAAAGACTTGTCACTCTATATTTAATCTTGCCAGCCAGTATCGCTTCTTATTTTTTCTACATTTTGAATCTTAGCTATAAATTTACTCATGTGTCTCTTTTCTGGAAAGCAGGAACGGAGAATGTGAAGGAAGAGAAAGGAAAAAGGGAAGGGAAGAGAAGGAAAAAGAGGGGAAGAGAAGGAAAAAGCAGGGAAGAAAACTCCTTTTCAACCTTACCACCCTTTCTGGCTCACACCGATTAGTAGGTTTCTTCCCTTCACAAACACAGTCTCTAAGGACTGTCTACACTGACAGTCTCCTCGCTTTTCTTCCCATTCCTACCTCAATGGAAGGAAATTTGCCTCCTGTGTCCTCCACACCACTCAGGCTGTTTTCGATATTATCACCAACGACTCCTAATTGCCAGTGGTTACTCTAGCATTTTTAATTGGCCAGTCTCTGTAGAATGTGGCACTGTTGACCTCTCTGTCATTACTGATACTTGTTCTTCCATGAGTTTCCCTGTTAGGAGTCTCTTCTGTTTATCCTTCCTTCCTACAGACCCCTGCTTCTTAGTTTCTTCTGCTAGATTCTCTTTCACTGACCACTCATTATATATTGTGTCATCATTCATTCATTTATTCAACAAACATATTAAACTTTTACCATATGTCAGGTACCATGATTGCTGCTAGGACCAGGTAAGCAGAGGCAGCTGAAGCACCACTCCAGGCACTATTCACAGTGCAGACACACTACACAGGCATATAAATGACACCACCCAAAGTTGTGCAATGGCAGTGATGCCATAAGGAAGATACAGTCCTTGCCATCTTGTTGGACCAGTGAAAAAGACCAAAACATAGCTAGATAATTAGAGAATAAAACAAAAGGTGTAATGACTGAGAGATGCCCTGGGTATAGTGTGAGCACAGCCTAGTTCTTCTCCACAGTTCTTTGACCTGTTTCATACCTCACTCTTTGCTTTTCCTCAGGTAATTACATCCGGACAAGTGATCTCAGATGAGCTTCTTAGTTTGATGATACACAAATTTGAATCTCTTGCCCAGAATAACAAACTTTCTACCACATGCCTTATAGGGCACCAAGAACCAGGAATATAAAAATAACAAATACAAGTCTTACCATGAGGCATTAATCTTGTTTCCCATCTGCACCACTTTAACAGATCCTCTGGGGCCTTTCTTCAAATCCCATTCAGAGTTATCTGTGTGAAATACAAGCTAATTTTATCACCAAACCCTCATTTCCACTCACTCCCTTGTTCAAAACTGCCAAAGCAAAATCAAAACCCCTTGGCAGTGTGATATACAAGACCCTGATGCTCTCGCTCCTGCCTGCTCCTCCAGCCTTCTCCAGTGCCCTGGCTATACATATTCCCTACCCCTCAACTATGCCACACCACCCGAACATGAGCAGTGCTTTCAATTGCAAGACAATTCCCACCTCAGGGCTTTTGAACCTGTTGCTCCTACTGCCTGGAAGATTGGCCCCTTGAATTTCTACATTTCTTTAATGGTTTGACCAACTTCAGCTATGTTAAGTGCCTCTAACTCTGTACTCCCATAGCAGGTGATCACTTACGGGAGTCATTCCAATGCTGTGATACTTTGTACACACAAGTGTGTATACAAAGGCCCTTCCTCAAAGACCTTCCATCTCCTGGGAAGCGTCTTCTCCAAAAAAAAGGCAAGCCTTTGAGGAAGGTCCCTGTCTAACAGATGGCAGGGCCTCAGTACATGTTTGCCTGGGAAGAGGTAATCTCATGAAATTATTTTTAGCATTGTTTAATCACAATGTTAGAGACTTTAAAGGTAATTAATTCTATTTCATCTAAATCAAATGTCTCTTTTACAGCTTCTGCTTAAAGCTGTTAAAAGCTAAACTGAAACTTCACCTTAACAGAGCCTGCATTAGCAGTCAATTAGGTATACTACCATCGCAAGAATTGACGAAGAAAGCAGAATATGCCAGGAAGATTCTGAGATGACAATTTGAGTCCATCAGTTACTGACCAATAATTGAAATTTTAGTTAGACTTTCATCTGTAATAAAATCAGAATATATGGTTGTCTAAATTTTATATTTTTTTGAATGTGGAAGATAATGAAAGAAGTCAATCTCAGCAAGTAAAAAAGGGGGAAAAATGTGTGGGGCTTAATTTTTTATAAAATAACCAGTTCCTAATCACTGAAACACTTTAATTATCAAGTAAAATAATTTAAACAATTATCTTATTTATGAGTATATATTTGTTCTTTACCTAGGTACTCTGCCTTTTCCTAAGAGTGTTTTTGAATTTTTAAATTAAGTTAATAGCTGTTGCCAGGCAATCCTTGTGACTAAATTTGTCAAAGAGCTGGCTGGCATTGAGGGCACAATCTGTGTCAATAAAAGAAAACAAGCTACAGACACATGTAGAATGGGGATTTGCCCTAAACCTCCGTGGGATCACACCCAAAACATAGCAGTCACTATTCTAGCTCCACAGGGGAGAACTAAAATATGGGGGAAATGTCTGGATTTTTAAAGTTAAGAAATGATATTTCTTTTTTATTATAATTCTACTTTAAGTTCTGGGGTACATGTGTAGACCTTGCAGGATTGTTACATAGGTACACACATGCCATGGTGGTTTGCTGTCTCCGTCCCCCTATTACCTACATTCATCATTTCTCCCAATGTTATCCCTCCCCAACCTCCCCACACCCTGCTATCCCTCCTCTAGTCCTCCCATACCCCAAAAGACCCCAGTGTGTGATGTTCCCCTCCCTGTGTCCATGTGTTCTCATTGTTCAACACCCAAATATGAGTGAGAACATGGGGTGTTTGGTTTTCTGTTCTTGTGTCAGTTTGCTAAGAATGATGATTTCCAGATTCATCCATGTCCCTACAAGGGACATGAACTCACCTTTTTGTGGCTGTATGGTATTCCATAGTATATATGTGCCACATTTCTTTATCCAGTCTATCATCAATCGGCATTTGGGTTGGTTCCAGGTCTTTGCTATTGTAAACAGTGCCACAGTGAACATACTGTGCATGTGACTTTATAATAGAACGATTTGTAATCCTTTGGGTATATATCCAGTAATGGGATTGCTGGGTCAAATGGCATTTCTATTTCTAGATCCTTGAAGAATCACCATGCTATTTTCCACAAAGGTTGAACTAATTTACACTCCCATCAACAGGGTAAAAGTGTTCCTATTTCTCCATATCCTCTCCAGCATCTGTTTTCTCCAGATTTTTTAATGATTGCCATTCTAACTGGTATGAGATGGTGGTATCTCAATGTGGTTTTGATTTGCATTTCTCTAATGACCAGTGATGATGAGCATTTATTCATATGTTTGTTGGCCACATAAATGTCTTCTTTTGAAAAGTGTCTGTTCATATCCTTCGCCCACTTTTTGATGGGGTTGTTTTTTTTTCTTGTAAATTTGTTTTGGTTCTTTGTAGATTCTGGATATTAGCCCTTTGTCAGACGGGTAGCTTGCAAAATATTTCTCCCATTCTGTTGGTTGCTGGTTCACTCTAATGATTGTTTCTTTTGCTGTGAGCAAGTTCTTAAGTTTAGTTAGATTCCATTTGTGTATTTTGGCTTTTTTTTTTTTTTTTTTGCCACTGCTTTTGGTGTTTTAGTGATGAAGTCCTTGCCTATGCCTATGTAGTGAATGGCAGTGCCTAGGTTTTCTTCTAGGGTTTTTGTGGTGTTAGGTCTTATGTTTAAATCTTTAATCCATCAAATTCACACATAACAATATTAGCCTTAAATGTAAACGGTCTAAATGCACCAATCAAAATACACAGACTGGCAAACTGGATAAAAAGTCAAGACCCATCAGTGTGATGTATTCAGGAGACCCATCTCACACCTCACGTGCAAAGACACAAATAGACTCAAAACAAAGGGATGGAAGAAGATTTACCAAGCAAATGGAGAGCAAAAAAAAAAAAAAGCAGGGGTTGCAATCCTAGTCTCAGATAAAATGGACTTTAAACTAACAAAGATCAAAAGAGACAAAGAAGGGCATTACATAATGGTAAAAGGATCGACGCAACAAGAAGAGCTAACTATCCTAAATATACATGCACCCATGGCCGGGCGCGGTGGCTCAAGCCTGTAATCCCAGCACTTTGGGAGGCCGAGGCAGGTGGATCACGAGGTCAAGAGATCAAGACCAGCCTGGTCAACATGGTGAAACCCCATCTCTACTAAAAATACAAAAAATTAGCTGGGCATGGTGGCGTGTGCCTGTAATCCCAGCTACTCAGGAGGCTGAGGCAGGAGAATTGCCTGAACCCAGGAGGCGGAGGTTGCGGTGAGCCGAGATCGTGCCATTGCACTCCAGCCTGGGTTAACAAGAGTGAAACTCCATCTCAAAAAAAAATAAAAAAAATAAAAAAAAATAAAAAAAAATAAAAAAAAAAAAATATATATATATATATATATATATATATATATATATATACATGCACCCAATACAGAAGCACTCAGATACATAAAGCAAGTTCTTAATCACCTACAAAGAGACTTAGGTTCCCACAAAATAATAGTGGAAGATTTTAACACCCCACTTTCAATATTAGACAGATCAACAAAACAGAAAATTAACAAGGATATCCAGGACTTTAATGCAGATATGGGCCAAGTGGACCTAACAGACATCTACAGAACTTTCCACCCTAAATCCACAGAATATACATTTTTCTTAGCACCACATTGCACTTACTCTAAAATTGACCACATAATTGGAAGTAAATCATTCCTCAGCAAATGCAAAAGAATGGAAATCAAATTAGAACTTAGAACTCAGAATTAAGAAACTCACACAAAACCACACAACTACATGGAAAGTGAATAACCTGTTACTGAATGATGACTACATAAACAATGAAATGAAGGCAGAAATAAAGATGTTCTTTGAAACCAATGAGAATGAAGACACAATGTACCAGAATCTCTGGGACACATTTAAAGCAGTGTCTAGAGGGAAATTTATAGCACTAAATACCCACATGAGAAGTGAGGAAAGGTCTAAAATCGACACCCTATCATCAAAATTGAAAGAGCTAAAAGAGCAAGATCAAAAAACTTAAAAGCTAGCAGAGACAAGAAATAACTAAGATTAGAGCAGAACTGAGGGAGACATAGACACAAAAAAAACCTTCAAAAAATCAATAAATCTAGGAGCTGGTTTTTTGAAAAGATCAACAAAATAGACCACTAGCCAGATTAATAAAAAAGAAAAGAGAGAAGAATCAAATAGACAGAATAAAAAATGATAAAGGGGATGTCACAACTGATTCCACAGAAATACAAACTACCATCAGAGATTACTACAAACAACTCTATGTATATAAACCAGTAAATTTAGAAGAAATGGATAAATTCCTGGACACTTACACTCTTCCAATACTAAACCAGGAAGAAGTTGAATCCCTGAATACACCAACAACAAGGTCTGAAGTTGAGGCAGCAATTAACAGCCTACCAACCAACAAAAGTCCAGTTCCAGACGGGTTCACAGCCAAATTCTACCAGACATATAAAGAGGAGCTGGTACCATTCCTTCTGAAACTATTCCAAACAATACAAAAAGAGGGAATCCTCCCTAACTCATTTTATGAGACCAACATCATCCTGATACCAAAACCTGGCAGAGACAACTGAAAAAGAAAACTTCAGGCCAATATCCATGATGAATATCAATGCAAAAATCTTCAATAAAATACTGGCAAACTGAATCCAACAGCACATCAAAAAGTTTATCCACCATGATCAAGCAGGTTTCATCCCAGGGATGCAAGGCTGGTTCAACATATGCAAATCTATAAATGTAATCCATAACATAAACAGAACCAAAGACAAAAACCACATGATCATCTCAATAGAGGCAGAGAAGGCCTTTGACAAAATTCAACAGCCCTTTATGCTAAAAACTCTCAATAAACTAGGTATCAATGGAATGTGTCTCAAAATAATGAAAGCTATTTATTACAAACCCACAGCCAATATCATGCTGAATGGGCAAAAACTGGAAGCATTCCCTTTGAAAACAGGCACTAGACAAGGATGCCCTCTGTCAGCATTCCTATTGAACATAGTATTGGAAGTTCTAGCCAGAGGAATCAGGCAAGAAAAAGAAATAAAGGGTATTCAATTAGGGAAAGGGGGAGTCAAATTGTTTCTATTTGCAGATG